AAAAAATCATGAAAAAAATAAAATAATATCATTTTTACTTTTAAAAGTTTAATATTTTTTAATAAAAATGTATAAAATAATACAATATTCATTTTTATTGCCTTACGTTTTTCATTTAAGGTGTTTAATTTTAATTATCTATTTTCTTTATTATAAAATATCATTTAATACATTTGTGAATATTTTACATTCCATTTTATTGGAGAATAAAAAGTTTATGAATAATAAAGTTTAAAGGGAATATTATTCTTGATAGACAATTAGGAATTAATTCCTATAGAACCCAAAAAAAAGTTCTTAGCTAGAAGATTATGGTGGGAGAAATTAAGAAATAGAAAAAAATCTTGATATGGGCTATTTGCTATATCAATTTAAAACTTATAGTTTCTTTTAATTTTTTGTTCATAATTATTATTAGTAATTTAAACACTTCTAATTATTAAACTAAATAATTAAATGAAATAAAATATGAATAGCTAACGATTAATTTTAAAATATCAATTAATTATTCGACCTTGGTGCACAAAATGAGTAGATTTTTTTCTTATATAAGCACATTTTTCTCACATAAGATAAACTAGATCCATACTTCTCAGATCTTAGTAGTAATAATTCCCACCCTAAATTGAAAAAAAAAAAGAAAAAGAAACACATTCCCGACATTTAAAAGACGAAAAAAATCCGATCAAGAGCAAATCCATCACATGATTATTAACTCTATAGCATCATAACCATGATCATCTCTGCAGCTCCATCATCCTACTGAAGTCCTCGAAGCACACGAACCCATCCCCGTTTTTATCCACTCCTGCTATCATACGCCTGCAATCCTCTAACGTGCACTGCTCGTCGCCTATCGACGTGAAAACCGCCAGTAGCTCTTCCGCCGTTATTTTCCCGTCGTGATCCGTGTCGAAGAAATCAAAAGTCTCTCTCAGCTCCGGTTCACAGACCGGATCGCAAACCAAACCGACAACCCGATTCATAAGCGCGTCGACGGTTATACCTCCGTCTCCATCCCCGTCCACCTCGCTCAGCATCATCGAAACTTCCTCCTGACTCGGCGGCTCTGCTCCAAGCCGGCTGAGTAGGGCCTCCAGTTGACTTCTCGAGACCACGCCGTTGTTATCCCTACCTGTAATCTTATACGTCTGAGCGAGCTCGTAGTACGCGTCGGGGGCCGCATCGTCGGACCAATCGCCAGGCAGGACACTGGTAGGGGTTCCAATATCGGCAGCTGCAGAGTGGCGTTTGTGGTTGGAAGACGACGGCTCGTCCGACGAAGACGAGGAGGTGGTCCCGTTACTACCGTGGCTGAACGACGATGGATCAGATCTGGAGACATGTTCCTTCTTGGAGCGGAAAAACCGTTTCGGTGAGAGTTTGCCGATGAGCTTCATAGCTGAGGGGAAGAAGAAAACTGGTTAGGAAGAAGACGAAGACGAAGAAGATTAAGATTGAGGGGAAACAGAGGGGAAGGTGGGTGTTAAATGGGGGTGGATGAGGAGGCTCCATGGGCAACTTCCACGAAGCTTCCTATGGGACAGTTAATTTGCCTATTTATAAGTTCTGAATGAAATTATTTAATTAAAGAATATAACTTTTTTAGGAAATATCTTTTTTTTTTCGTGGTTGAGGTGTATATGACAATTTTCTTAAAACGTCATTTTTTTTTTTCGATAACTGATTTCATCCGATTTGTTGAATCCTTTTAACTGACTCCGAACAGATTAGGTAAAATTGGATTTTGATGATTTTGAATTTTCAATGATTTAGTTCTATCTACCAACAATAGCTTGTGCCTTGAAGTTCAGATTAAAAATTGAAACCACTACTGGAATAGAATTAAGAAGTCAACAAGTAATTCAAAAATAATAATGTTAAACTAAGTGTGAAATTGTGTTTAATTTATAAAGAAAAAAAAAGTTGAATTTATAATTTTACTTTCTCTATTTTAAAATAATAATAATTTTTTATTTTAATTGTATTTAAAATTAATTATTATTTTTTATTTTTTATATA